TATTTATTTATTTATCTGGACTTCTACCCCACCCATCTAGACCAAAGGTCTGCTCTGGGCAGCATTACAAATTTAAAAACAGTAAAAAAAAAATACCAGTAAATATATATTATGAATCCAGGATGGCAAAATGTGAATTTAAAATACGGCAGGAAAGAGAGACTTTTCTTCTGAAGACACCCAGAGAGGGAGCATCCCAAATCCCTTTATTTTTGCAAATTGCAAAAGGCACTCAAGCTTCCGAGATGCTGGTCTCTCCTTCCATAGGACCCTGCCTGGAGGGAGCGGGTGGCTTCTTGCTCCAGCGGGCTTGGAGCAGAGGAAAGCCATGGGGGGGGGGAGGTCTCCTGTCCTTCTTGCCCTGTCCACCTCTCTCTCCATGGGACCCCGAGATCGCATGCGCCCTCCAGCAAGATGCGAGGCATGGCCTCCCCAGTACCAGGTGACAGACCCAGGTCGGAGAAGTGGCGAAATGTCCTCCACGTCTCATTCGTGGCCGTGATGCACCTACACCCACCTCACAAGTGCAAAAAGGAGAGACCGACTGTCCAGGAAAACCACACAAAACCCTATCCAGTGAGTCCACTTTTCACTGTTCTGTTAACACCTATGGGAGTTTTAGATGCTGTCTTTTTACAGCAGTGCGCTATAGTCGGCCTGATGAAGCCGCAGAACCTCCCTGAGACCTTACCTGCTTCCCCCCCCCCAAAAAAATCTCTTCACTTTTGGGCCCAGAGAAAGGCTTTTGCGCTTGAAAGCACAGAAGGCCACGCTTCAGGTCTCGAAACCCAACGACCACGTTTTCCACAGGGCTAGCTGATGTTCTGGAAGCCTTTCCAAACTGAGCTTGCAGAAGAAACCCCCTTAGACAAAGGTGATCCTTTGGTATGAAAAGGGCTTCAGCCCTTGAGGCCTTTGATTGACGACCCTTCTGGGCCTCGGGACGTTTGGAGGGGAAATGGGCTTTTGGGGTGCAAAGGAAATGTCGAAGGGAGGGAAACCGATGCCTCCCCAGCCAGCAGGGCTCCACTTTCTCTCCGTCTATCTGAGAGGCAGGACGCTGGGCCAGAGGGTGGAGGGAGGGAGCGCATGGGCTGGCCATGCCCCTGTCCCCCTCCAGCCAGGGGGGCCCTCCAGAGCAAGGGCGCGCGGTGTGTGTGTGTGTGTTTTGCGCCTGCAGCTGCAGCCCTTGGCCATCATCGGTGGCCTCCCCTGCAGGCTTCCTGGATGACCAGCCCCTTCCCTTCCCTGAGGAGGAGCAGAGCTAATTTTTGGGCCCTTCCCTGCCAGCGGCAGAGAAGGGAAGCATCCCTTGCCTCTCGGGGCGGTGGGGGGGCTTCTGGGCTGAAGGTCACGTAAATGGATGACCCATAAAACCTGTTACTCCTCAAGGACACCCCCCCACGCACTGCATTGACAGGGGGTGGAAATGGGTGACCCTTGGACTCCCTTCCAGCTCTAATTCCAGGATCCCCTGATGGTTTGGCTGCAAGGGGCCGAGGCAGGAGCTGCGGCCGCCCTCCCTCTTGGGAGTCCTGGCTGGCCGGAGGCTTGAGTGTCTCCTCCTCTCTCCCTCCCTCTCTCTCCTTCTCTCAGCAGCCTCTCCCTATCGCTTTGAAGCAGCCGAAGGGGGACGCTCACACCCAAGGCTGGCAGCCCTGATACCCCGCACCCTCCACCCTCACAGGAGACAGCGATAATGGGGTGTTGTGGCGGGGGGGGCTGTTTGGCGTTGCACCCTGGCTGCCCTCCTAAACCAAATAAGTCGCCTGCTTTCAAGCTCCCTCTGCTCAGCAGCCCACGCCCCTCGCGTGCTCGTCCCAGGATCCGTCTCCCAGAGGGCAGGATGAGCGAGCCATAAGGACCCCACAGGCCTGTGGTGGACGTTGGAGTCCAAAGCACGAAAGGGGGGGAGGGGGGAGAGAGAGAGAAAGAGAGGGAGTGAGTGAGTGAGTGAGTGAGTGAGGGAGTTAGTTAGTTAGTTAGTTAGTTAGTTAGTTAGTTAGTTAGTTAGTTAGTTAGTTAGTTAGTTAGTTAGTTAGTTAGTTAGTTAGTTAAATTATCACACCTTTCCCCTCAAAAAGAACTCAAGGTGCCATCTTACATCATTAAAAGCCAATGTTTTAAAGCTAAAAACTGTTAAGTATACAACTATTTTAAAAGGATCAAAGAAATACCAGACTTAAAAAATGACAAACACTTTCAAAAAGCCACGAGGCACAACCATCCATATTTTTTTTAAAAAAAG